GGGAGTGAGTCGCCGGTCCGAAGACCGGTGCTCCCCACCCGAGGCTCCCCGTGCGCTGGGGGCCCACCCTCCGGGAGCCTCTCCAAACTTCTTAAAACCTGTTCTGAACATATCTCATTGGCCCTTATTCCTCTTATCTTTTTTTTAAAGGAAATTTTGTTTTTATTTTTTCGTAAAATAATAAAGAATGAACCTCGGCTGGGGATTCAGCTCAGTGGCACAGCGCCTACCTGGCAAGCACAAGGTTGCGAGTTTGATTCTCGGTACCGGAAAAAACAACAACAACAAAAAAAAAGAATGAACCTCAAGGAAGAAGAAATAACATAGGAAACAAATTTTTAAAATAAAGAGAGTCAAGGCCAGGCATGGTGGCAGATACCTAAAATCCTAGCACGGGAGGCCGAGGCAGGAAGATTACCATGAATTTGAGGCCAGCCTAGTCTACGTAGTGAATTCAGGGAGACCCTGTCTAAATAAATAAATAAATAAATATCATTATTTTTTTAAATAAAAGGAAAATTGCAGTGAAAAAGAAGCATTCATAATTCTTGAAGATCAAAAAGTGGCTGTCAAAAATTTTCAAAAGGTTTAGCAAGTGAACTAAACAACAGAATGATCAAAACCAAAAACTAAATTTGTAACATGGAAAATCAAGTTGAGGGATTTGCATGACAGAGAGCAAGCAGTTGAAAGTTGTGAGAAACTGAAAGAGACTAAATCCAGAAATTCAAAAACCTGTTTAAACACAGGGAAAGAAATTAAAATGCAGTGGGAGAAACATGAGAATCATCAGGTCATAAGCCGCAAGTGCTATGTGGAATAAATTTTTTAAAAATCATACCTAGACATACCCTGATGAAATTTCAGAACTCCAAAGACACAAAGAAAAAAGCCTAAAGGCCTCCAAAGAGAGAAAAAAGCCAGAGCAAAAGTAAAATTGAACTTATATCAGAACCTCAGGGCAGTGTCTTCAAGTTCTGAGCAAAGGAAATGATGCTTGAGTCAAACTATTAGTTACGATAGCAAAATAAAAAATAATTTTGGACATATAAATGGAAAATATAAAAAATACAGGCATAATGCAACATAATAAAACAGAGAATAATAAAGAAAAAGCTCACACGAGACTCAAGAAAAAGTGGCTGAGGATAAAATCAGAAGAAAGAAAACACACTTAGGAAGAAATGCTTCTAATTGTTTCATTAGAATTTCTTTCAGTAGTAAGATTTTCCTGGCATAAATTGTATGTCATTTTATGAATTGGATCTAATTGATAGTTTGTATAAGTGAGTAACTTTTATATAATCATAAGAAAAAGATTTTTAAGTTTTCCATTTATAGACATTTATTGAAAAGGATGAAGACTTCATTATACTTACAAAACAGAACATCAATGTTATAAGTATTTTCTCTACAGAAAGAGTAGCTCCAACAATTTAAGATGCAGAGAAGAGAAGGTTAAAGAGGGATGTTCTGACCTCCTGATACTTTATGGTGGGTAGTGAATAAACACTGTTTAGAAATAATCAAAAGTTAAGTGCAGATGCTTATTGTTTACATTATTATGGCAAGATGTAGAGGAATTTAACACAAGAAAGGTTCCCAGGGGCTGTCTGAGTAGTGGTAGACTAGAGAACCAGGAGGGATACCATTTTTCCCCACAAGTAGTACTTTCTGTCACTGATAGAAGTCTGAATTTCACACAGGTTCATGGACTGGCGACTCATATGGAACAGCTCATTGAACTTCACTGTCTGTCTCTCTGCCAGTAGCTATTCCAGGACTACTACCTTCACCATGAAGTCCCATGAACTCCCAATTCAAACCTGGGCTTCTTCAGGATTTTTCACTTTTTTTTTTTAAGAGAGCAGTAAATGAGAAAAAAAAAAAAAAAAAAGAACAATAGCAGCATACCAGCATCACAAACATAAACCAAAGCAAGAACATTTAAAGTGATACGGGGTTTCAAGACAGAATAATACAAATTAACAGTGGTTGTTACATTACATACTGTTATCTTCAACTACATCGCTCAGATTACCAGATGTAAGAATGAAAGATTGTTCAAACCATTAAAGAGAATAAGAAAATAATTAATGAAGACACATCATAAAGAGGATAAAAGAGTTTGGCACTTCTTTCTACATCTTTTTCAGTACTGTCTGGAATCAATTTATAAACCACTTCTTCCAAGTTGTTTATCTGTACCATTCTAGGCGTAATTTCTCTCATGTCCTTCCAGACTGAACAGACCCTATGAACACAGAGCATAGCACCCTTCCCTGCCTAGTTAGTAAAACCAACAAAGAACAAGCAACGCAAATGACATCGGTAACCTTGACATCATGCACTTCAGTCACGCCCTGCCATTTTTTGGCGGCGCACACCACCCGTGCTATCAGAGTTAGGTGGTTCAACAATTAGCTTGAGTTTTCTAAATGCAACTTCTTCCTTCTGTAGATTAGCAAGACCCCCTTCACACATTCAGCTACTGAGGCCATCCGATGCACTTGCGCCTCCTTGAGTTCTCATGGCTAGTGTTTTCGCCATACTTCTCCTACGGAAGAGGTGCTTTCGCGTGATATGGGTCTTCCTTCGGAAAGGGCTCTACCTCTTTCTTCTTGGCCCCCTTTTTTGCCTCCTTTTGTAGGGCACTCCTTCTCTCCAACCACAGGGGTGCTGCTCGGACAGCCAAAAGGTTGAGAGGGGATACTTTACTTCTATTATTATGCTGTTTTTCAACTTGTAACATTATGAGGCATTTTTTTAAAAATTTTTGTTTTGCATTCAAAGACCTTACCCTGTGGGCTAGGAGATGCCACTGAATATTCTCCAACAGAAAATACATATGCAATGTAAAGTAGTTCTTTTAGGAACATTATTAAATTGCGAATGGACAGCCTGGGGTGAGGGAGCCCAGGCCGGAGGTGATTTGCTCCATCTCTGAGCTGCCGTTGGGTACTAACTGTGCTACATGGAACCGAGGAGTGTTTTGAATGACAGCAACAAAAAAACTGCTACTATTCACCCCTCCACGTACCATTTTTAGTTTTCATTGGCAAATCTTGGTTCTCTTTTCCACTCTTTCGCTCTACTTCCTGAGACCTGCCCTTTAGATGAACACTTGCTAAGTCTCCACTCTTGCATGAAGCCTTTTCCCAGTGCACTACCATTTGGAGCGAGTTTCATAGACTCCCTTCCTCTGCCTTCAGTAAATAAATCACTTATTTTCTGCTAGGAAGACAAGTGAGTTTGATAATAGTAGCTGAAATATATAAGTATCATGCGCTAACCGATTGCGCCGCTGGAGCTTCATTAGCTGAAATATAACGATGTGAGATTGTTCTCCTCTGCAACACCTTGTACTACATAATAAATCACTGGATCCTCCTCTATTATTGGAAATTGTCTGGTCAAATACATGTAGAGACAATCTTAACATAAATCACCTTTCATATACAACTAACAGCCCCCCCAAAAAAATGACCAGTGCTTGTTTCTTACCTGATACACTGATTCACGGCCAGAAATTTGTTTTACTAACACTTTGGCATCTTCTTGACTTTTGGCGTATCCTTTTGTAATAGTATACACCAAGCTGAGGTGCTTTTTGATCTGTACGTCTATCTTATTTATCAATACTGGTATTAATAACTGGAAAAATAGAAGGGCAGAAAACTTGTAAATGTCAGCAGAAAAAGCACCCTGCAAAGCAGAGGTTCTCAAAGTTTCTCCTCCCTACCAGCAACAGCTGCTCCCAGAAACTTGTTAGAAATGCCGATTCTGGGCTCCAACTCAGCCCTGCTGAATCAGGTGCTCTAAGGTGGGTCCCAGAATCCCGGGTTATAACAAAATCCTCCTGGGGCTAGGGATTTAGCTCAGCAGCAAAGCACCTGCATGGCAAGTGCAAGGTCATGAGTTCGATTCCTGGTACTGGAAGAAAAACAAAAAACAAACAAACAAAAAAAATCCTCCTGACACTTCTGTGCAAATTTGTTTGAGATTTACTCTTTAAAGAAATGAAAGCTTGATGAATAACTTTTTAAATTATTTTCTCTTTATTTTTTCCTTCAATCAGATCTCACTGGTACATTTTATATATACACAGTGATCACATTCATCATAAAGATGAACAAGTTTATGTGGAGACTCTAGCTCAGCTCTCTCTATCGTTCTCTGTACCCCCATCTTTCAGGAGACAAAAGGGGTGAACCCACAAGCTGATTTATAATTACCAACTGAATAAATCATCTCTCTGCACCTTACTCTCTTCACTTGTAAAATAAGGAATTTAGGATATATAAGGTCATTCTTAGCTCCAAATTTCTCTAATCCTAGGCTTAGAAAGGATAGTGTAGTGAGTGACCCAAGAGAATGAGATTTTAAATATAGACCTTTCTAGGTTTAAATACCAACTGCCCTATTCTCCAGCTCTGTGACCTTGAGCAAGTTACTTAGTGACTTTGAGGACTCTGTTTACTCATGCATAAGAAGAGACAGTGATATTAAGTACCAGAATTCCAGTGGACTTGCCTCAATGCACAGCCCAGGGGCTTCCCACAGAGTTCTGTCCCAGCCCTGGGAGAGAAAATGAGGAACTGGGAAACAAAGAGGAAAACAGGGAAAACAGGAAAATAGAATGGACAAAGTGAAGGAATTACAAGAGCAGAGAAAAGACTCTAAAAAGCTTCTATTTTGACGGTGAAATGCTGTGCAAAGGGAGAGCTCTTCACAGGATTCTTTCAAAGCTTGCCTCTGTGTTGTACTGACACCCCTGAGCTGTCCCTGAGAGCATCCCTACAGATCCTGATATTCTTTCAAGCTTTCTGACGCAGGTTTCTTTCCAAAGCTACCGCACACTGTGCTAAATCCAGCTACAAGGGCACCTAACTTTATGTAGTGGTGACATCTGCCTCACAGAGCTGTAAAAGTAGCTCAACTAGATAATGTATTTAAAATGCTTTATTCAATCCCTGGTGAATAGAAGTGCTCGACACAGAAGCTAACCATAATATTATTCCTTAAATATGAGCATGGTAAACGTGTGCATCAGCTGGTTCAGAACGCTTGCTGGCCACATCTAAATAGATTTGGCTTCCATTCTAATACACCTGCAAATCTTTACTCCATTTAAAACAGTTCTCACAAAGCATTGCTTCAAAATACTTGCCTTACATTTTTCTGCACATCTGTATGAAAACTGGGTACCTGAGGAAATTCTTTTTCATTTTAAGTCTTAACTGTACCTCCTTTTTTATTTTTTTTTAATTTTTATTTTTTTTTCCAGCACCAGAAATCAAACTCACGACCTCACACTTGCCAGGCAGACGCTGTGCCACTGAGCTAAATCCCCAGCCCCATACCTCCTTTTTTAAATTAATGTTTATTTGTACAATTTAGATATACATAATGATCACATTCATCATAGGGAATTTGTACCAGTACATGATATATTTTGATTCTTCTCTTTTTCCTATTCTCCTCCCCTTCTTTCAACCCTTCTTCCCTTCCCCATTTACAAAAGCTTTGCTTCCATTTTATCCTTCTCTTCTGTTATTTTTCTTTTCCCTTTATTCTTTTCCCCCTTCTCCCCTATCTAGAATCTTTCTCTTTTGAACATTTTCTTTCTTTTTCGCAATTTCCATTATATATTTTGGTCCTTATTTACACTTTCAGTTTCTCAGGCCAGAGAAATAATGATTTTTACACATGTGTGTTCAGTTTATTTCACTTAAGAGTATGATCTCAAGGTGCATCAATTTACCTAGAAATGTCTCAAGCTTACCCTTCTTTATGGCAGAGTAGTACTCCACTGTATATGTTAAAAACCATATCTTTATCCATTCATTGGTCTGGGTGTTTGAGCTGTTTCCAAGATTTAGCTATTACAAACTATACCACTATAAATATGAGTATACATATATAGCTGTGGTATGATGCTTTTAATTCTTTTGGGAAAATACCAAGGAGGGGAATAGCTGGGTTGAATGGGACCTCCAACCCTAATTTTTTGAGGAATCTCTATGCTGATTTCCATAGTGGTTGCACAAGTCTATACTCCCACCAACAGTGGAGAAGTGTTCCTTTTTCCCCACAGCCCCGCCAGCATTCATTATTGGTTGACTTCTTGGGAATAGCCATTCTTTCTGGAATGAGATACAATCTCAGTGTTGTTTTAATTTGTACCTCTCAAATGACCAGTGAGGTTGGATATTTTTTTCATATATTTATTTGATGCTTGTATTTTTTCATCTGAGAAGTGTGTCAGATGCCCACTCAGAAGCCCATGTTTGAATTGGGTCTTTAAGGGGGGAGGGGTCTGATTTTTTTTAGTTGTTTATATATTCTAGACAGTAGTCCTTTGTCTGAGGAACAGCTGGCAAAAGTTTTTTCCCACTCTGTTGGTTGTCTCTTCCCTTTGTTGGTTATTTCTCTTGCTGTGCAAAAACTTTTTAATAAGATGACATCCCAGTTGTTGATTCTGTATTTCCCATGTGACTGGGGTTTTGCCTATACCTATGTCTTCAAGAGTTCTACCTATTCTATCTTCCAGTAGGTTTGATGTTTCCGTTTTACTATTTAGATCTTTGATCCATTTTGATTTTAGTTTAGTGCATGGTGATAAACATGGGTCTAGTTTTAGTCTTTGACATACGGAAAGCCAGTTTTTGCAGCACTATTTACTAAAGAGGCTGTCTTTCTTCCAGTGAAAGCGTTTGGATCTTTTGTCAAAGATATAGTGGCTGATAATGTCTGGAATTGTTTCTGGATCTTCTAATCTATTCCATTGATCCTTGGGCCTGTTTTTCCCAGTAATATGCTGGTTTTTTTAGTCATGGTAGCTCTGTAGTATAATTTCAAGTCAGGGATTGTGATGCTCCCTGCCTTGCCTTCGGTGCCCAGAATCATTTTTGCTATTCTCAGTTTCCTCTGGTTCCAGATGAATTTTAAGAATGTTTTCTCTAGTTCTATGAGGTATGCAATTGGTATTTTGCTTTAGATTGCATTAAATCTGTATAATAACTTTGGGATTATGACCATTTTAACTATATTGGTTCTTCCTACCCAAGAGCAAGGGATATCTTTCCATTTTCTGATACACTCTTCGATCTGCTTTTCAGAGTACTGTAGTTTTCAAGGTGAAGATCTTTTACTTCTTTTGTTAAATTAATTCTTAAGTATTTCTTTTTTTATGCTATTGTGAAAGATATGGTTTTCCTAATTTCTCTTTTAGTGAGTTTTTTATTTGTGTACAGGAATGCTATTGATTTTTGTGTGTTGTATTTGTATCCAGCTATGCTATTGAATTTGGTTATTAAATCTACAAGTCTTCTGGTGGAGTTTTTGTCTTCTATGTAGAGTATCATGTCATCCAAAAATAATGATAATTTAATGTCTTCCTTTTCTATCTTTATTATTTTCTTTTGAGACAGGATCTCACTGTGTAATCCAGGCTGGCCTTAAATTCACTGGGTAGCCCAGGCTGGCCTTGAACTTGCAGCAATCCCCCTGACTCAGACTCTCCTGTCCTGGATTACAGGCATGCACCATCATGTCTTGCTATCTTTATTCTTTTTATTTCTTTCTCTTGTCTAAATTCTCAGCTAATGTCTCCAGAACTATATTGGATAAGAGTGGTGACACTGGACATCTTTACCTTCTTCCTGATTTTGGAGTGAAAGCTTTCAGTTTTTTACCACTTAGTATGATGTTGTTAGCCACACTTCTGATATCCAGAGTACTTTGTATTATGAGGAGTTATAATTTATATAAGCACTTAGCTCTAAACTTAGTTCAAAAGTCAAATCATAGAATCAAAATTACTCATGACAGCAGGTTTTGCCCTTCCCTACAACTCTGTAGAGCAATTCTTATAAACACTAAACTTTAGTAACATCAATATAGAATAAAGGAAAGAACAGAGGAGAATATCTAAAACACAAGCTGAGAATCCAAGTAATTCTGAATTTGAAATAACTATTTGGGGAAAATGATAACAAATTTCTCAGAGGATAGTCTCTAGGTAGAGGATTCTAATGTATGAATTTTTGCCACCAGAGTCTAGAGCAAGTTTTTTTTCAACACTAAGCCTCTATAATTCCATTTCATACTAATAATCCTTTTTGATGTGATAAATATCAAAAACAACTTGGAGTAGCCAGTGAAACCCTGATGGTTGCAGTTTAAATGCTTATACAATGCAGCTCCATGGGAAAGAGAGAAAGAAGTCATAAAAGTTGAGACTGAAAATACAAAAATCTACTTTCAGAATTCAAACATGACCCATGGAAAGGAGGAATAATCATTGTAAACCACAGTAAAAAGAAACTCCACAAGTAGCATGCCATGTGAGTATGAAGCTATGCAAGCTATGGAGAAAATATTTTTGTTTCACAGTTTGGACAATAAGGACAAGTACTGAAATTTGAAGACCACTCTGATTCTAGTGTCCTTTGTATTTTCATTCATCATTTAACAGCGACTTCTTAAGTACTTAACTGTATGCCCCAGGCCCCATCAATGACCAAAACAAGAAGGCACCCACCTCATGGAAAGCAAGTACAAATATAGAGTAAACATGTGACGAGTGCTTTGGGGAGGAAAAATAAAAGCTAAGCAGCTGGAGGGAAACTTGGTGGATGGGCTGCCATTTTTCATAGGATGCTTGGGGAAAATATCTGTAAAGGTCAGTGTAATGACTTAACGGAGGCGAGAGAACGAATCAAGCAGATACCCACTGAAAGAGAGTTCCAGAACAGAAAGCTCCTCCCCTCATTTTTCTCAACAAGGTTTCTTAAATCATTTAATAAATAAAATATGAAAAATATAGAGTCTTACCTTGCAAAGGGGGAGAAGCCTAACTATTCTGAAATATCCTAATGTCACTGTGAGCTGGATAAGAAACAAGTTGCCTGGTCTCAATATGACACAGTATATACAAAAGACGTCAAACAAGCCAACAAGCATGATAATAAAATCCAATACATTCCAATGCTGTTGAAAATATTTCTTTCTCAAAATTGTTATCTGTTTAGGAAACAAATAGAATACATGTCATGTCATAGCACTTATACACTGATGGAGGGGGAAAATCTAAGACTAACAGTTAAGTCCTCAACCACAGATGATTCGTACTCCAAAAGTTGTGCTTTAAATTATTCATTTGAAATTCCAAAATATTCTTTCTAATCTCCAATGTCAAATTTTTAATGTGACTCAAAATATATCATATATCATATATCGTATCACATATTTTGAGGCTGGAATGCCAAAACCAAGAGTTTAAAAAATCGCAATAAGCAGGTTCATTATAATGTCATTAATAATAAAGTAGGAAAACAGCAATGCAGACAAGCTATCTTTGAAGCATTCATGCTAAGTATTTCTCATATTATGACAAGAACCTAGCAAACCAATTTGATTTTTTCAGAAAGGTGTATTGAATAACCTGTGTCTATGCATCACAGGGCAGCATATATACACACTAAAAACAGGGCTGGTGACCACAGACCGCAATGGCACAAATCAGAGTATCATCAACATCCTCAGACTCTGCCCCTCCAGCTACAGTCTGTGTGCCTCCAGCCACACCAGCACCATAGAACTTTGTGGTCCTGGCCCGCTGCAGGAGGGAGCAGGGGCAGCGAAGAGGGAAGGGTGTATGCCACGGTTACTGGGACAGGGTTGGGCAGCAGTGGCATGAGGAACCGGGTTACCAGTTTGGTGGTGGTTGTTGCTGCGGTTGTTTTTTCATTTTTATTTTCATTAGTATAGGTCTGCAGTACATGATGGCTACATTCACAGGGCACAGTTGGTACCTGTGCATGACACATCTTATTTTTTCATCCTCTTCCTCTCCTTCCCCGCTCCTTCCATCTCTTGGCTACCTTTCTCATGTGTAAAATATCTACCTCCCGTTGCTTATTATCTGTCTTTTATCTTGCTCCTTAATTCTCATATAGGAGAAACCATGCAATATTTAAGCTTGTGTGTTGATTTATTTCACTTAACATTACGGTCTCAAGGTGCCTCCATTGTCCTACACAGGACTCCTACAACATCCTCCTTTATAGCAGAATAATATTCCATTGTATGTGAATAACACATTTTCTTTATCCATTCATCTGTTGATGGACAAATAAAACACTTCCAAAATTTAACTGTTATGAGTTGTGCTGCTACAAACATAGTAATGCGTGTATCACTGTAATATGATGTTTTCAACTCTTTCATGAAGACGCCGAGAAGGAGAATAGGTGGGTCCAATGAAATTTTTAATTTTTTTTGAGGAATCCCCATACTGATTTCTATAGTAGCTTTACTAGTTTACATTCCCATAAACAATGTAGAAGGATTCCTTTTTCCCCTGCAGCCTCACCAGCATTTGTTATTATTTGATTTCTTTTTTATTTTAGGTTATTAGTACATAATACCTACATCATCAGTACATAATGTTTAGTTATTTTTTTTTTTTTATTTTAAGGATAAAAGGAGGGAAACATTAACAGACATACAACATTTTACAACGTATCACAAGCACAATACAGACAATACAGAGTTACAAAC